CTCAAAGGGGAAAAGGCAACAGGATGGGGACATAAACCGTGACAGTATCCAGTTAAATTCTGTGTATCTAAGAAAGAATCCAGGCCTTTTTAAAGCAATCCACTGAGCTGGCTAGAACCAACTCTTGAGTGAGTCTATTCCACATTTTCACAGCTCCCACTGTGAAAAAACCTTTCCGTGTTTGGAGATTACATTTATTTTCCTCCAGACTTAAAGAGTGCCCCCTTGTCCTCTATGATGACCTCAGGGTGAATAGCTCTACACCGAGTTCACTATATGAACCACTTATGTATTTGTACATGTTGATCATATCCCCCTTAATCTCCTCTTCTCAAGAGAGAATAAATTCAGTTGCTCTAATTTTTCCTCATAGCGGAGCTCCTCCATTCCTCTTATAAGTTTGGTTGCCCTTCTCTGTACTTTCTCCAGTTCCCCAATGTTCTTTTTGTGAATTGGTGCCCAAAACTGAACTGCATATTCCAGATGAGGTATTACTAATGATTTGTACAGGGGTAAAAGTATATATATCTCTCTCTGGAGTCTATACCTCTTTTAATACAAGAGAGGATTTTTCTCACTTTAGAAACCGCAGCTTGGCATTGCATGCCATTATTAAGCTTGTGATCTACCAGAACTCCCAGATCCTTCTCCACCATTGATTCCCCCAGTTGTACCCCCCTAGTATGTATGATGCATGCATATTCTTAGCTCCCAAGCGCATAACCTTACATTTATTAACATTAAATCTTATTTGCCACATTGTTGCCCAATTAAACAGTGCATTGAGGTCAGCTTGTAAGTTGAAGACATCCTGTAAAGACGTTATTCCACTGCAAAGCTTGGTGTCATCTGCAAAGACTGAAATAGTATTTTTAATCCCAGACCCTATATCGTTTATAAATATATTAAAAAGTAAGGGTCTCAACACTGAACCTTGGGGTACACCACTGATGACCCTAGACCATTCAGAGTATGAATCATTAATCACTACTCTTTGAATACGTTATTTCTATCCATTTACATATGAATTTTTCCAAACCCGTAGACTTTACCTTACACTTTAGCCATGTGTGGGGATCTGTGCCAAATGCTTTTGCAAAATCCAAGTATGACACATCCATAGCCACCCCTCTGTCCAAGGTTTTGCTCACCTCCTCATAAAAAGAAATCAGATTTGTATGACAACTTGGGGTTTATTTACTAAAGCTGGAGAGTCCAAAATCAGACTCCCTTCTGCATATAAACCAATCAGCTTCCAGGTTTCATTTCCAAAGCTTCATTGAAGTGAAAGTGAAGTGCAAGTGAAATGCATGCTCAATTGAGTTGAGATCAGGTGATTGATTCAGCCATTGCAGAATACTCCACTTCTTTTCCTTCAAAAGCCCCTGGCTTGCTTTTGCAGTGTGTTTTGGATCATTGTCCATCTGTACTGTGAAGTGCCATCCAATCAACTTTGCTGCATTTGGCTGAATCTGGGTTGACAGTATATCTCTAAACTTCAGAATTCATCTGGCTGCTTCTGTCACATCATCAATAAACACCAATGAGCCAGTGCCCCTGGAAGCCATGCATGCTCATGCCATCACGCTGCCTCCACTATGTTTTACAGATGACGTTGTGTGCTTTGGATCATGAGCTGTTCCAAGCCTCCTCCATACTTTTTTCTTCCCGTCATTTTGGTACAGATTAATCTTAGTTTCATCCATCCAAAGAATGCCTTTCCAGAACTGGTCTGGCTTTTTTAGATGTTTTTTGGCAAAGTCTAATCTGGCTTTTCTATTCTTTAGGCTTATGAATGGTTTGCACCTTGTGGTAAACCCTCTGTATTTGCTCTCGTGGAGTTTTTTCTTAATTGTAGACTTTGACAATTATACTCCCAACTCCTGGAGAGTGTCCTTCACTTCTGGATGTTGTGAATGGATTTTTCTTTACCATAGAGATTATCCTGCGATCATCCACCAGTATTGTCTTCCGTGGACGTCCATGCCTTTTTATGTTGCTGAGCTCACCAGTGCATTCTTCTTTCCTCAGAATATACCAAACTGTTGATTTAGCCACTCCTAATGTTGCTGCTATCTCTCTGATGAATTAATTTCTGAAGCTTTACAATGGCCTGTTTCACTTGCATGGACAGCTCCTTTGAACGCATGATGTAAGTTCACAGCAATAGATTTCAAATGCAAATACCACACTTAGAATCAACTCCAGACCTTTTACCTGCTTAATTGATGAAGAAATAACAAAGGAGTAGCCCACACCTGGCCATGTCAACAGATTTTGATTCAACTGTCCAATTACTTTTGGTCCCTTGAAAAAGGGGGGATGGCTACTCTTAAGAGCTGTAATTCCTAAACCCTTCCTCCAATTTGGATGTACATACCCTCAAATTAAACCTGAGAGTGTGCACTTTCAGCCCATATTATATAACTATAGCTTGAATATGTTTCGGTAAACACCTGAAAAAAACTAAAAATGTTCCTGTGTCCAAATATATATGGACCTAACTGTAGGTATGTAAGAGTAATGAGATTTCTGGTTGAAAACTGCAGCCATTGTTTACATTGTGCGATTTTGTGACTGGCCAGCATTAGGTTTGGTTCACATTAATGCATGTCAGGGAACATGACCACCTTCCCAACACAAAGCCAAACATGCTGCTCTTCCGAAGATGCGTAGGGGTACTATTAATTCTTAATGGTACCTGTGACAGACTGCCTGGCACCCCGGATAGGTGCTTCCATCAGTGAACTGTTTCCTCAATGCTAGGACACAGTACCAAGGTATTATAGCTGGGACGACACTAGCTTAGGTGCAACAGGGAACTCTTAATTGAAAAGAAATACAGGTTTTTATATACATTGAAAATAGGGACAGTCCCCACATGAACAACAAAAACAAATATTACACATTTGGATAAACATCTCACACCGATTAGGTAACGAGGTAAAGTTGACACAAGACTGATTCCATCATTTAGGAACCTCCAGGAGGACTAGCCAACAGACAGAAACAGTGAGGGGCTCAATTAACCTCCCTAGCATTATGATTATGTCAGTATTTCTGTGCTCAAAGCAGTACATTGTTTCCAATGGAAATATGTTGTTGTTTTATTGTAGGCCTGTAATTCTTAGGAATAACTCACTGAAATCTGTCCGAACAAGAGTCTAGTAAACATCCCAGGTATGATAAAATTTGAAACACAAAATCGTAGACAATAATATAATAAACAATCATAAAAATAATAATATAATAATAATACATTTTATTCAATAATGTAATCAATTTAAAAACACTGAAATTTTAAATAGAGTGCCAAGTTCGCACATCACTGAGCTCAGTCGCAGAATCGTTTTCAGTGTCTGATGATGAATTTACCCACGAATCATTATCACTCAATTCTGCAAGTGGTTCTAATTCACTATCGCTGTTCTCTAGCTGGTCTAAAACCACTCTTGACCTAAAGGGATGCTTTTTGAATGCCATGGATGTTTCTCAGTTTCCAGGCAGAAAGAATGGTAAAAATGCAGGCATGGCACTGGACAAAGCACTAGGGACAAAATGTATGTGAAATGGTTTGATACAGTAATGTAATACTATCAGATTTTAGTGTATTATGTGTATGTAAAATTTTGAAATTTTTGAATCTCCCGCCGATTTCACCTCCCGTACGTCCCGACGCTCTCAGGGAACGGAACCTGGAAGATGGATGCTGGCATCGGCCAGAGACATGGCCGGGGAAGCAGTGGGAGGACAGCGCAGGACAAGGTAAGTGATCCAGGGATCCCAGAGCGACGCTGCAGTGTAATCCTGAGTGTAGCTCGGGGTTACCGCTTCTGGTACTGAAACTTAACCCCGAGCTACACTCGGGAATACTGCCAGGGGGGTTAATAATAGGGCTAAGACACCGTAAACACATAACGCCTTAATAAACATATGACAACAAAAGACCTCAGCATCAGGTTGTTTTGACCCTGAAACTGAGTTGCAGCATGGTGGCCAAGACCATAAAGCTGTTTAACAGGACCGGTTCCACTCAGAACAGGCCTTGCCATGGTCGACCAGAGAAGTTGAGTGCACGTGCTCAGCATCATATATCCAGAGTTTGTCTTTGGGAAATAGACATAGGAGTGCTACCAGCATTGCTGCAGAGGTTGAAGGGGTGGGGGGTCAGCCTGTCAGTGCTTAGACCATACACTGTACACTGCATCAAATTGGTCTACATGGCTGTCGTCCCAGAAGGAAGCCTCTTCCAAAGATGATACACAAGAAAGCCTGCAGTTTGCTGAAGACAAGCAGACTAAGCACATGGATTACTGAAACCATGTTCTGTGGTCTGATGAGACCAAGATAAACTTACTTGGTTCAGATGGTGTCAAGAGTGTGTGGCAGCAACCAGGTGAGGAGTACAAAGACAAGTGTGTCTTGCCTACAGTCAAGCATGGTGGTGGGAGTGTCATGGTCTGGGACAGCATGAGTGCTGCCAGCACTGGGGAGCTATAGTTCATTGAGGGAACCATGAATACCAACATGTACTGTGACATACTGAAGCAGAGCATGATCCCCTCCCTTCAGAGACTGGGACGCAGGGTAGTATTCCAACATGATAACGACCCCAAACACACTCCAAGACGACCACTGACTTGCTAAAGAAGCTGAGGGTAAAGGTGATAGACTGACCAAGAATGTCTCCAGACTTAAACCCTATTGAGCATCTGTGGGACATCCTCAAATGGAAGGTGGAGGACTGCAAGGTCTCTAACATCCATCAGCTCTGTGATGTCATCATGGAGGAGTGGAAGAGGACTCCAGTGGCAACCTGTGAAGCTCTGGTGAACTCCATGCCCAAGAGGATTAAGGCAGTGCTAGAAAATAATGGGTGACACATAAAATATTGACACTTTGACAGCTCGAGAGGAGAGGAGAGCCAGTAATCGGCTTTCTGCGGAGGGGACATGTACACTGATCATCAGGGCACTGATGATCAGTGTGGCCCCAGAAGTGCCACCTGTCAGTGTCCATCACTGCCAGCAGTCAGTGGTCATCAGTGCCACGTGCCAGTGCCCATCAGTGCCACATATCAGTGCATACCAGTGCACATCAATGCCACATATCAGTGCCCATCTGAGCTGCCTTTCAATGTCACCCATCAGTGCCAGTCAGTGCCACCTATCAATGCCAATCAGTGCCACCTATCAATGCTGCCAATCAGTGCCACCTATCAGTGCCAGTCAGTGTCACCTATCAGTGCGCATCAGTGCCACCTATCAGTGCCACCTATCAGTGCCAGTCAGTGCTGCCTAACAGTGCCAGTCAGTGTCACCTAGCAGTGCACATCAGTGCCGCCTATCAGTGCCAGTCAGTGCCACCTATCAGTGCCAGTCAGTGCTGCCTATCAGTGCCGCCTATCAGTGCCATATATCATTATTATTATTATACAGTATTTATATAGCGCCAAAGGGTTTGCTCAGCGCTGTACAATAGCAAGGGGGACAGAACATGAGACAAAACAGTAATAATACAATACACGAGGGGTTCGAGGGCCCTGCTCTTTTGAGCTTACAATCTAGGAGGGGGGGAAGTGGTACAGGAGGAAGTGGCTGTGGGGGATGGAGTGGTGGGAGAAGTGGAGGAGATCGGTTGTTAGGTGAGGGTGGGGTAGGCTTCCCTGAAGAGATGGGTTTTCAGGGTGCGCCTGAAGGTGAGGAGGGTAGGTGACAGTCTGATGGATTAGGGTAGGGAGTTCCAGAGGATGGGGGAAGTCCTGGAGAAGTCCTGCAGTCGGGCGTGGGAGGAGGAGACCAGGAAGCTAGAGAGTAGGAGGTCCCGTGAGGAGCGAAGGGCACGGGTAGGGTGATATTTGGGTATCAGGTCAGTTATGTAGTTTGGGGCGGTGTTGTGAATGGCTTTGTAGGTCAGAGTTAGTAATTTGAATTTGATGCGCTGGGCAATCGGGAGCCAGTGAAGGGATTGGCAGAGGGGGGTGGCAGATGTGGAGCGGTTGGTGAGGTGGATGAGTCTAGCCGCTGAGTTCAGGATAGACTGGAGTGGGGATAGCGTTTGTTTGGGTAGGCCAGTGAGAAGGGAGTTGCAGTAGTCCAGGCGTGAGATGATGAGGGAGTGTACGAGTTGTTTAGTAGTGTCTGGGGCGAGGAATGTACGTATCTTGGAGATGTTGCGGAGGTGGAGCCTTCATGACTTTGATAGTGATTGGACATGAGGTTGGAAGGAAAGGTTTGAGTCCAGGGTGACACCCAGGACTTTGGAGTGTGGGGTGGGATTGATGGTGGCGTTGCTAGTAGTGATGGAGAGGATGGGGGGGCGGGCTGAGGGGAAAACCAGGAGCTCAGTTTTGGACAGGTTTAACTTGAGGAAATAGAGTGACATCCAGTCTGATATGTCGTTCAGGAGGTGGGCGATGTGGGCAGAGAGTGAGGGGGTGAGGTGGGGGGTAGAGAGGTAAATTTGTGTGTCGTCGGCATAGAGGTGATAGTTGAAGCCGTGGGAGTGTTTCAGTTTGCCAAGGGAGGAGGTGTAGATGAAGAAGAAGAGGGGTCCGAGGACAGAGCCTTGGGGGACTCCAACAGAGAGGGGGAGAGAGGGGGAGGTGGCAGCATTATAGGTGACGCTGAAGGAGCGTTGGGATAGGTAGGAGGAGAACCAGGATAGAGAGCAGCGTTCCTGATGCCAAGGGAGTGCAGTTTTGTAAGGAGGAGGGGGTGGTTGACTGTGTCGAAGGCCGCGGAGAGGTTGAGGAGCAGGAGAAACTGAGTAATGGCCATTAGCTTTGGCGGTTAGCAGGTCGTTAGTGATTTTAAGTAGGGCGGTTTCGGTGGAGTGTAGGGGACGAAAGCCTGACTGTAGTGGATCAAGGAGGTTGTTATCAGTGAGGTGGGTGCTTAGGCGATTGTAGGCCAAGTGAATGGTAACAGGGAGATGGGTCGAAGGTTGTTTGGGTTAGTGGGGTCAAGAGAGGGTTTTTTTTGAGTATGGGGGGTGATGTGTGCGTGCTTTAGGAGGGAGGGGAATGTGCCAGTGGAGAGGGAGAGATTGAAGATGTGGGTGAGGGAGCAAATGATGGAGGAGGGGGGTGACTGGACGAGCTGTGAGGGGATAGAGTCCAGGGGGAAAGTGGTGAGGCGGGCTTCAGTGAAGACATTAGTGACCTCCTCAGTAGTAGCTGGGCTAAAGGAGCATAGCGTTGGGGAGGTGATAGTGTGCGGGGTGTTTAGGTATGGTGGGGGGCAGTGCGTGTATGAGGTCGAAGGAGGGGAGAATTGAGGGGGTGATGGAGGGGGGGGGGGGGGCTTGGTGGAGAGGTAGATTGTGAGTTGACAATGTCTTTACGGATTGCGTCAATCTTGTTTTGGAAATGATTGGCGATCTCGTGGGCGGTGTGTGCTGTGTGAGCGCGAAGGAGGAGGTTAGGAGGAGGAGTTGGGAAGTAGCCGGGTTGTTGGTGTTGATGGGGATGTTGAAGTCCCTGAGGATGATGGTCGGTAGCTTGGAGGAGAGGAAGAAGGGTAGCCAGGCGGCAAAGTCGTCTAGGAAGAGGGATGCGGATCCTGGAGGCCGATAGATTACTGCATCCTCGGGGGGGGGGGGAGAAGAGCCGATGCAGTGGTCTTCGAAGGAGGAGAAGGATAGGGAGGGGGGGTTGGGAATACCTGGAAGGTGCTCAGTGGTGGCAGGAGCATGCCGACCCCACCGCCTCTGCAACCACTCGGTCTGGGTGAGTTGGTCCAGACGAGGCCTAGGTGAGTGCTCCAGGGGAGGTGGAGTCAGTGGCTTGGATCCAGGTTTCGGTGACCGCTAGGAGGTTGAGGGACTGGGAGACAAAGAGGTCATGGATGGCGGTGAGCTTGTTGCAAACCGAATGGACGTTCAGGAGTGCAACCGAGAGAGGAGGGGTGGATGCGGGGAGGAGGGGGACGGGTATGAGGTTGAGGGGGTTGCGGCAGCTGGCGGGAGCAGGGAGGTGCCGAGAGGGGGAGTGGGGAGGTGGGGGGCCAGGGTTCAGGGAGATGTCCCCGGCGATTAGGAAAAGGAGAAGGGTGAGGAAGGTGGCATGGGAACGGGATGTGCAGGGGCGTGTGGGTCTGTTAGTGGTGGCGTGTGGGTCGGCGGGAGAGTGGAGTATCAGGAGGAGGTGGTGGGAGCCGTAGTGGGGAGAAGGAAGAAGTGAAGGAGCAATGTAGAGCTGTTTTGGGGGAGTAGGGGAGTAGAGGGAGGTGATTTTGGGAATGGAGGAGAGGAAAACGAGGAGGAGGAGTGCAGGTGGCATGTTAGGGTGAGGGGAGTGCTGATCAGGTCGGGGTGGTGGGAGGTTTCAATCAGGACGTGAGGATGCGGAGAGTTTGTCATGCCATGATGGAGTTCATCTGTGTCCATCTGTTGGAGGAAAGTGAGAGTGGTGAGCGGCTGGGTCAGCAGCTGGCTGGTTGCAGTCTGGGTGCCGTAGGTCGGCGTCCGTGGGTGTTGTGGCACGGCGTCAGTGGGTATAGTGGTTCGGCGACTGGACGAGCAGTAGGGCGTGGTGTTTGGAGGTGCTGGAGGCCCGACATCGGGAGGTGCTGATGGCTCGGCGTCAGGAGGTGCTGAGGACCCGGCGTCAGGAGGTGCTGAGGGCCCAGCGTCAGGAGGTGCTGAGGGCCCGGCGTCAGGAGGTGCTGAGGGCCCGGCGTCAGGAGGTGCTGAGGGCCCAGCGGCAGGAGGTGGTGTAGGCCGATGTCTGGAGGTGGTGTAGGCCGATATCTGGAGGTGGAGTGGGCTAGGCGTTGGTGGGTGCAGTAGGGCCTGGCATCAATGGGTGTTGTGGACCAGTGTGTGTGTGGATGCTGCGGGCCAGCGAATGAGGGTGGTAAGGGGGCCCAGCGTATCAGTGTCATGTATCAGAGCTGCCTTTCAGTCCCCATCAGTGATGATTGTCAATGCCCATCAGTGCAACCTTTATTTTTTCTTTATTTTTGAGGTATCCTGGATTTTCCCACGATATTTGGAAGATTGAATAATAATTTTTGTGGACACTTTGGACTATATTTGTTCCGGACACTTTGGACTTACTTTGGACATTTACAGAAAGATTAATAGGGTATTGCATACAGGTTTTATAGAAAAGGTTTTTGATGTTTACACTTTCAAGGGTGAAAGGTTGACTTTTCTTTGGGTGATTACACTTAGAGTTTTGTTTATTATTATCATCAGTGCAACCTACCAGTGCCTCCTCATGAGTGCCACCTATCAGTGTCCATCAGTGCAGCCTATCAGTGCCCATCACTGCAGCCTCATTAGCGCACATCAGTGAAGGAGAAAAATCACTTATTTACAAAATTGTATAACAAAAACTAAGAAAAAAAATTTTTTTTTTCAAAATTTTCAGTGGTTTTTGGTTTGTTTAAGAAAAAATAAAAATCCCAGAGGTGATTAAATACCACCAAAAGAAAGCTCTATCTGTCTCAAAAAAATGATAAAAAATTTCATATGGGTACAGTGTTTGCATGACCGCGCAATTGTCATTCAAAGCGTGACAGCGCTGAAAGCTGGAAATTGGCCTGGGCAGGAAGGGGGTATAAATGCCCTGTAGGCTAATGGTTAAGAAACCAGCTGAGATCATTTTGCTGGAAAGGATGTGAAGTGCCAGACAAGGCTAAACTGGGAATAAACTGGAATGGAAAGGAAGGGAAAGTAGTAATACTGGCAGGCTGCATGCAGTTGGGTTAGGGGATTTATTAACTGCTTGCCGACCCGCCGCAGTGTTTTTACTGCGGCAGGGCGCCACCTGTGCGCACAGTGTCGTCCTTTAACGGCGCTCTGCAAAACAGGTAGGGGGGCGTGCGTGCATGAGGCGCGTGCCTGTCCTACCCGTCCTGCAGTTCGCAACAGCGGGAGTCCATCACATAATCCCGGCGGGTCATTAGCCGCCGGATGCCGGCGATTACTGGTAATCACTGACAGATAGCATGGCTGCAGTGTTTACATTGCAGCTCTGCTATCTGTCAGTTCAGAGCACGCTGAACCTGAGAGAAGACTTTATGTCTCGGGATCAGCGTGTTCCTGCGAAGTACACACCCCCAACCCACTAATAAAACACTCCCCTCACACAGTTAACCCTTTCATTTAATAAAAAAGTTAACCCCTTCCTCCCCAGTGCCATTAGTACAGTGTCAGTGTTTTTTTATTGCACTGATCACTGTATTGGTGTCACTGGGGATGTCAGTGACCCCAAGTCAGTTCCCCCCAGTGTCAAAATGTCCGCCGCAGTCCCGCAGCCCCGCCATAAGTTGCTGATCACTGTCATAAATCGCTGATCACCGCCATAAGTCGCTGATCGCCGCCATTATTAGTATAATAAAAAAAAAATCTCAGTATCTTTCCCGCCATTTGTAGATGCTATAACTTTCACGTAAACCAATTAATTTACACATATTGGTTTTTTTAAGCAAAGAAATGTTGCAAAATACATTTTGGCAGAAATTTATGACTAAATTTGATTTTTACATTTTTTTACTTGACATGTTTTATAGCAAAAAATCAAAAATATTGTTTTTTTTTTTCAAAATTGTCAGCCTTTTTTTTTTATAGCGCAAAAAATAAAAAACGCACAGGCGATCAAATACCACCGAAAGAAAGCTCAATTTGTGGGAAAAAATGGATGTAAATTTAATTTGGGTGCAGTGTTGCATGACCGCGCAATTGTCAGTTAAAGTAACGCAGCGACGTAACACAAACCACTTCTGTAACCGCTTCCTGACCGCTCTATAGCAGAAATACTGCTACAGGGCGGCATGGGTGCGCAAAATCACATATACTGTATATATATATATATATATATATATATACACACACGTGATTCGCGCTCCCGTGGTTTTCACGCACCTCCCAGATAGCGTCAGATTGCCAGTCAGTACACCAGTCATCACATTTACCCTTGATTGCCAGGAGCACGCTCATGTACAATAAACCTCCATTGCTAGTATAGTGTCTGAACGGGTCAATATCTTTGATCAGATCAGCACTATACCAGTGTTCACATTAGTATAGTGTCCCCAAAAACGCAGCGTTTAGCGGGATCAGCCCCGGCACCTGCCAGCACCTGCATTTAGCCCCTATGCTTACCCCACCTTCTCCCCCAGCAAGTGCAGTGTCAGTAGGTCACTGTCACTTGATACATTGCACACAAAACCACAGTGTTGGCAGAATCAGGCCTGATCTCTGTTAGCACTTGCCGGTACATTTTGAGGACTCTCATGTGCAGCAGAGTGCCAGTACTAGTGCTGCTCTACCTTTTGGTGAACTGGCGAGTACCAGCAGTCTAGTACATCTTGGTCTTTCATATACCTCCTTGATTTTTGGAGCTGTTTTTCACAGAATATCTGTAAGCGTTGATTGTGGATCAAAGCAAATTATATGCACAACAATTTATCGCCGCCAACCCAAATTCAAACCTTGCCAGACCATTCGCATGGAAACTCATTACGGTTTTCGAATTTACATTTTTTTTGGGCCTAACCCTCAACATGGGCATTACTAAAAGAAATGAATTGCGGTTGTATTGGTCCGCAGACATCATATGCCTGTGTTCTCTGCTGCCATGGCCAGGCATAGATATGAGAGTATAATGGGTTTTTTGCATTTCAACGACAATACACTCTGTCATCCTTGGGGTAACCTTGAATTTGACCGGCTCCATAAAATTCAGCCCCTCGCAAATCACCTTAACCAAAAATTTGCAGATGTCTATACTCCCCAGCAAAACATCTGCGTTGATGAGTCCCTGATTAATTTTTCTGGCTGCCTTGCATTCAAACAATTTCTCCCCTGCAAGCGTGCCAGATATGGGGTAAAGATGTAGAAGACCTGTGAGAGGGCAACAGGCTATACTTATAAGTTTGTTTTGGATTTACGAGGGAAAAGATAGTCACGTGGAGTCCCCCGGATGCCTAGACTACATGGGGAGCAGTGACAAGATAGTTTGGGACTTGGTGTCATCCTTTTTCCATATGGGGTACTACTTATACGTGGACAATTTTTATTCAAGCGTGCCACTATTTAGACATTTGTTCAATCTTGGAACTGGCGCTTATGGCTAAGTGTGACCTAATGTGTGCCCACCATTAGAATTGGGTGGATGCAGGGTGGTATATTCTAATGGTGGGCATACCACACACTTTCTGGCAGAGATTTCTTCTCATATTTTCATTCAGTCCACAGGCTGCATACAAAAAAAAAAAAACATAGTATATATACCCAACAAGGACCAGCGATGTACTGGTACATCACTGGACTTTGAATGGTTATACCAGGATGATGCCTTCAGCTGCATGCATCATCCTGGTATAGTTTTTTTTTCAGCCGGCGATCGGCTTTCATGTAAAAGCAATCCTAGTGGCTAAATAGCTGCAGGATTGCTTTTACATGCAGCGGGAGATGATGCCCCCTCCCATCCCCCGCTGCCTTCCACGGCCTTCTCGGGCAGTCTCGTGCAATCGGGGGAACCTGAGAATGCAGCCGATGTTTCTGCCAGCTGACCATAGAGCTGATTGGAGACCAGAGTGGTGCCAATCATCTCTATAGTCTAAGAATTCGGAAGCTACGAGCATTTCATCACTTCAGTTTCGCAGGATATAAACAATGCCCATTGAAGTTATAGGGGATATTTGCATTCCCTGTCATAGCATTAAAAGTGATCAAAAAAAAAAAAATGAAAGGTACAATGTAAAAATAAAAAAAAAATCAAAATAACTAAAAAAAAAATTGCCCCTCCCATGCGCGCATACCTGTGTGCACAAGCCTTGACCCTGTGCCAGTATGTAAACAGCTGTTGCACCATGCATGTGAGGTATTGCCGTGAACGTCAGATCAAGGGCAATAATTCTAACACTAGACCACTTCTGTAAATCTAAAATGGTAGCTTTTAAAGGCTTTTAAAGCGTTGCCTATGGATATTAAAAATGTTTGTAGTTTGTCACCATTGCATGGGGCATGCGCAGTTTTAAAGCATGTCATGTTTGGTATCTATTTACTCGGCATACCATTATCTTTTATATTTTACCAAATAATTGGCCAATATATTGTGTTTTTGTGCATTAAAAGTAAACAAAGTGTATTTTTTTTTTTTTTTTAAATTTGCTTTTGAAAAATCGCTGCGTGAGTACTATGTGCCATAAAAAATTGTAGTACCCACCATTTTATTCACTAGCGTATATGCTTTAAAAATATATAATGTTTGGCGGTTTAAATTAATTTCCTAGCAAAAAATACTGATTTATTTCATGTGAACAAAAAGTGTCAGAAAAGGCTTGGTCTTCAGGTGGTTAGAAGAGTGAGTGATGTATGGCATAAACTTCTAATGCTGGGCATAGAATGCCCCCACCCCCCAAAACGACCCCTTTTTGGAAAATAGACACCCCAAACTATTTGCTGAGAGAGGCATGTTGAATCAATAGAAGAATTTATTTTTTTATTACAAGTTTTTGGAAAAAATGACAAAAAAAAAATATTTTTTTTTTACACAAAATTGTCACTGAAAATGATTTACTGCTCACACATGCCATGGGTATATGTGGAATTACTCCCCAAAATACATTCTGCTATTTTTTCCCCAAAGTATGGGGGTACCACATGTGAGAGACGTTTTGGCAGTTTAGCCAAGTACAGGACCCCAAATCCAATAAGCACCTTCAGGCTTTTAAAGGGCTTGATTTCCTCATTACACTTCCAGACTACCTATCACAGTTTCAGAGGCCCTGAAATGCCAGGATAGCACTTAAAAATGACCCCTTTTTGGAAAGTAGACACCCCAAGGAATTTGATGAAAAGTTTTTGGAAAATGAAGAAAAAAAAAAAAAAACATATTTTTTCTATTCTTTTTTTATCTTTCAAAACCTTGTGAGAAAAAATGAGATCTGAAAAATACTCACCATGCCTCTTTTTCAAATTCCTTGGAGTGTCTACTTTCCAGAAAAGGGTCATTTGGGGCGGTTTGGTGCTATCCTGGCATGTCAGGGCCTACAAAACTGTGATAGGTAGTGAGGAAGTGTAATGAGGAAGAAGTTACGCACCTTCAGGCTTTCAAAGTGGTCATTGGATTTCAGGCTCCTGTATGTGGCTAGGCTCCCAAAAAGTCTCACACATGTGGTATCCCCATATGCAGTAGAAATAGCAGAATGTATTTTGGGGTGTAATTCCACATATACCCATGGCTTGTGCGAGAAATAAATCATTTAAATGACAACTTTGTGTAAAAAAAAAAAAAAATGTTTTTGTCCTTTTTCAGAAACTTGTGGAAAAAAAATAAATCTTCCATGGACTCAATATGCCTCTCAGCAGATAGCTTAGG